TAGAGCAGCTCTGGAGTGCTTAAAATGCGTCACTGAACTCACTGGCAAGCGACTATGATATCGGATTAAAAAAAAAAAAATTAAATAGAAAATCAACAACAAAATTTGAAAAGAAGTGTATTATTTCAAAATGTATTACATGCTGGCAACGCAGCGGGTCATTAGCTAGTTAGCCAATAAAAAGGTATTGCCCCGTATTGCGCGCGCATACCAGGTAAAAATAGATAGGTCTATTACAACTCAACTGTGGAATTGTTGGTGGGGGTAGTAAGACCCTGCTACCTTAATAAATTACGAATAATCCAGAAATGGAGTCTAAAAATAATTTCTAATGAAAACAAATAATACTCCACTGACCATTATTATTGTTCAATAAGGCCAGCGTGTTTGATACTAGACAACTTTATTTTTGGAATATACTAATATTGATCAACAAAAGAAGAATATCACTTCAAACTATCACTCATGAAAAACACAAATTTCTGGAAAGATTGTAAGTATATGGTGGTTCCGGTAAGCACTAGCAGAAAGGAAATAGTACACCAATTATTAATAGATTTACCTCCATAATGTTTCAATTTTTTACTAAAAAACTTGAAGGACATTGTATTTTTGGAAGTACTTATTTAATGAACTTGAAATACGGATTTTGCGGTAGAATAGAAAAAAATACGTAGTTTTCTCTGATATACAAAAATTTATATGTAAAAATGTTAGCATAAGTAGGTAGAATAAACTATATGTAGGTAGGCACTTTGTTCGTTCAAATTCAGATTGTGACGATATTTCCCGAGTAGTGGCCAAAACTCGAATGAGACATTTCCAATGACACATTTCCACCCAAATACAAATAGTGACAATAGCCAAATATTACAAAAACAGCGGTAACAATCAGACAACAAAATGTTGGTTATGCGCTTAAATATATGGGTCAATTCTGTGCACATCTGTAAGCAAATCTATAAATTTCTATAGGCCTATAGCTGCCTATAGACAATTTGCAATTCTGCACTTCCTGTAGATTCCAGAATATCTTATAGGCCAGTCAATGAGGCTTCGGAATTAACAATAATTGCAAACAATGTGAAATTCAGGATTTACGTTTTGCATGAAAAAAAAAAATGAACTATAAAAATTTGCACCTTCCAGTGACGTGCGGAACATTGTTTTTTTTTTTAAATTAAACAATTATTAATTACTTCTTCCCAAAAATTGCTAACAAAGTGTAAATTTACAAAAACGCGACGACTACGATCTTCCAAATCTTGTATTAATTTTGCACCTTTTTTATTAACAAGGTGCAAATTAGAATGATGTACCGTAAATGCCAAACAAATAATTGTATAAATTTGCACCTTTCAATCTCCTCCGGAAATGAGCGATTTGCATTATCATATGTGAAAAAACACCATTATTTTGAGGGAAAATTGCTAACAATTCAAAAACTAGATGCAAATGTTCAAATTGATTGCCAGAATGTTATGCAACATTTGCACCCAAAAATATTAAGTGGAAACCTTTTTTTTCTGATTTTTATTTTTTACAATAATTATTGACATCGAGAAAATTACAAACAGGGTGCAAATCACAACAGCAATTCTAAATATTATTTCAACCCTTACTTCGAGTTTGCACCCCTATATGAAGCATGGAGTAAGTTTAAAATATTGAAAATAATCTGTGGTGCGGCACAGCGTAAATATTATTTGAGTGATGTTTTGGAGATATTTCTTATTCCGTGCTTCATATAGGGGCGCAAACTTGAAGTAAGGGTTGAAATATGATTTAGAATTGCTGTTGTGATTTACACCCTGTTTGTAATTTTCTCGATGTCATTAATTATCGTAAAAAACAAAAATTAGAAAAAAAAAATTTCCACTTAATATTTTTGGGTGCAAATGTTGCATAACATTCTGGCAATCAATTTGAACATTTGCATCTAGTTTTTGAATTGTTAGCAATTTTCCCTCAAAATAATGGTGTTTTTTCACATATGATAATGCAAATCGCTCATTTCCGGAGGAGATTGGCAGTTGTTGTGCGAAAGATTTGCAAATAAGAAATTATTAGTTTACAATCGCACAAAAAGTCTTTTCAACTTACAGCCTATCATTACTGAGGTTATTATAATAAAACACGAAGTAATTATTAACTTTTAATTAGAAAAAACTAGCAAAAATTAAACGGAAAATTAATTTGACAACAAAACCGACGCCATGTTTTATTCAGAACTAAACTCATATGTTTTTACATGAAGGCGGTTCCTATAAAAATATTATTCCAAAGAATGTGTGGCGCCATCTACAAATTATGGTCCACACCTAACTAATTTCTGTGGTAAAATAATCTTATTGATTTTGTTAAGATGAAATCTGTTTTCTTCAACAATTACCTTGTCCACTACCCTAATAGGGTATAATTTCAATGAAATCGATGATCTATTGTTCATCTATGGAGTAAATGAAAAATATTCCTAGTTAGTGACGTAAAATATGTGAACCTGTCAATATTTTGACTGATAAACATCAGTATTTCGTATACTCTCCACACAAAAAGTCGCAAAAAAGTTCATCTTTCAACGCTCATATCTCAAAGACCGTAATACCATAAGATTTCGTCCCATTTAAAGGGTGTTAAGAATTAAATCCTCTACAACATATCAAAAAATGGACAAAATCCATAGAGCCCAAAAATCCCATGTTAGGTGTGCGTTATCCTTTCACATTGTTTGTAATTATTGTTAATTCCGAAGCCTCATTGTAGGATCGTACATATTATAGGATCGTACATATTTCCGATCGGGTGTTTGGCAATCGATGCGTTTTGCAGTGTCTATAGGCTTATAGAAATTTATAGATTTGCTTACAGATGTGCAGAACTGACCTGATAACTTAGGGAAACTTGATCACCAAATCATAAACTAGATAACGATCTATACAATAATTCCAAATCCCTGGGTACAGTTTCTACTATAATATTGATTACTTTAATTCTTATGATGGACTATTGATTTACACCGAATCTTCTGATGGCGTTGTTATCACTGTTAAGCTAATCAATTGTGGTATGACTGTATAACTAGTATTAAATTAGGACTCAGATTTTTAAGTGTATGTATAACAGCAATAGGTCTCCTTCGTCATACATTTCAGACTTCTAAACGAGATTGATTCATATATTTTGCTGATAGGTACAGTTGTGAAAGCTTTTCATGGGAGATATAAATATAGATACTTTGTCTAACGATGACCGGAACGTCAATAGTTGCCTATCAGTTCTAGCTACGCATATGGCTTTGCCCCTATGTACCAAGACATTACACGACCAGAATCAGGCACATGCCTTGACCATGCCTTTTTACGAAAAAAATTAAAAGTAATGGAGTAAGCTTAAGTCCCTATCCCTATGTTATTAATAATGACCTGACAGACCATTTACCCATTTTACTGAATATGTATATCTTTAAATAACAAATATGAAAATGCTCTTGATGTCCAGTCACTTGATAAAATAATTGTTAGCAAAATGTATTATAATCTGGTAAAGGACTTGGCTTCAAAATTTGATCGGAATATCATACTCATGGAGAATAATCCTGAGAATGCCGCAAATATTTTGATTACTGAATTAAATAAAATAATTACCAAATCGAGAAAGAGGGTAGAAGTAACGCATAAGTTTAAAAAAATCAAACCATGGATCACCAATGGAGTCATAACATCAATCGTCCCATAAGTGTGATCTCCAACAACACTTATTTCATTGGGTATTTTGAATATGTGTAATAAGTATACATTTTCAAAATAAGTTTTTTGAAATAAAGCTTATTCTTAAGGTAACTTTTTATATCTAGACCATTGTGTACTACTACTATCTATCATTACTTACATTTAAGAAACAGCCTGATGTGTTCGAATTTTTGTTTGTCTGCTTTGCTAGCTTCAATGTCCCAAGTCTCATAAGATGAAATTCGAAAAAAATGTCCAAACTTGCTATTGATCCATCATTGACCATCATTATTAGAAATTGAAAGCCTATTAGTCATTAAAGAGTTGTATGTGCATTCATGTAGTTAGATTAGACCAAGTACCAGGTACATCAGAAATTTCATAGATATAAATGTCAAAACAAATTTGCTCCCAGCGATGTTAGTTAGCCACAATGACATTTTATTATATTTTTTCCTATTTGCCAGCTCTTAACTCATCAAAAATTGAAATCAGCTGGATATTGCATCTTTAAGCATGAATTTTAATTGACACTTGGTGGACTACCATTTGTATTTAATAATTTAAACTTAGGTTCCTTGTGGGGTATTTTAATTTTCCATTACATTGGCATTGGAAAATTTTATAACATTTCAATGTTCCTAACAGTGGCGTAGCCAGTAGGGGGGCAGGGGGGGGCGACGGCCCCCCCCCGCCCCTACACGGATGGCGCCCCTACCGCTCTTAAAAAACAAAAGCATGAAATAAGAAATTATAAAATTATGCTGTTTCTTATTTATCTTATTGACCTCTTCACCCTTTATTCTTTATCGAAAGTCAGCATTAAGGAAAGGAGATAGTTTCTGTTTTGATAGTATTTGTTCATTAAACTATTGGTTAATGGGTTGGATGGGGCTGTCATCCGTCAGGATTTCCCCGGATTTGTTTTCAAGGCGTCCGGAAGGATTTTTTGAAGTTAACGACATGTCCACACATTATTTCTTGTAGGGATTAAAATACATAAATGTTTTTCGGCGTAGCACCGTGGCACCCGAAAAAAGAAATGTTTTTGAAGGAAATAAACTTTTTTGGGCGTAGCACCCAAGGAAATTTTTCGCCTCCGGCAGCGCCCGTTCTGTCCCCATTCCTCTTTAATATTTTCCCTCAATAAGCAAATATTACAAAAGCATACAAACAAAGTAAAAACATTCATTTGTTATCTTCTCTCGCCCCCCCCCCCCCCGCAAAAAAATTATGCGCCCCTTATGTGTTTGCCCCCTCCGCCCCGCAAGGCTGGCTACGCCACTGGTTCCTAACATTGCTGAAAACAACACTGGAATAATGAGCTTATTATTAGTCTTGTATACGCTTATTTAAATATAGATTTTTAACATGAGAAAATATAATTGTCATTAATTCAAAAGCGTTTTCATGCTCAAACATTTCACTTTACTAAACAGTTTTTTTACTTGGTATCGTAGTCAAGAAATTCGTTTCTAAATAACTCAAATTTTGACTGACCAACTTGAAAGGTTCCACACTGTCTTCTATCACCTCAGACAAATACGTTTGTATTCTAGATGGCAAGTAAAGTTCCTTAACATCTTGCTTGCACTTAATTTTTTTAACTATTACCGCTCGGCACCTGTCCTGCAGATTTACAAAGTCTCTTTTAATATTTTCCAAAACCATTTCGGTTTTGGCCGCCGTCGAACAAACTAGAGGAAAAAGCGGTTCTTTTATGTCGTTTAGGCCACGAAAGGCGACTCCGAGACATTTACCGTCCTTGTAATAAGTTAGAGTACCTGTAATGGAAAAACAAAATTGGGTTTGAATTTTTAAAACAAACTTCAGCACTTACCAGCAATGCCATCGAATAAAACTCCAATTCTTGTAGAAACGTTTTCTCTAAACGGTTTTGTGTAGTATGCCCAACTCCCATTGTGCCAAATTAGACCTTTATGGGACAGACCCCAACTGTTTTCGTCTATTCCGAGAAGATTTACGAAGGAATCTTCGTGTAGACGAGCTTTTCTAGTTCCTGCCAAAGTAAAGACGTGCTTAATTATTATTTTCTATTTCTTGTCTAGCATAATACAGAGTTGAAAAATGTTGGAACGTTTTACTCTACAGAAACGAAATGAAATATTCCGTAACTAAACAAACTTCTGATTTTTAATCAAAATTTTACAAATTTATAAAAAATCTTCACCTATTCCAAACATCATACTGGTTCCAAATATGCGTCTAGACAGCATCAGTTCCCAGTAATATCGTCCGTTATTCAATACTCTGGTGCCTCGGGCTGCTGCGGTACCGCTGCTCCAGTTGGAATGAAAATGAGCTGTCCGCAAGTGTTTTCCACTTAAAGTGACCTAAAAAGAAATGGTCCTCTAAAAAATCTAGATTGTAATGAAAAAAAGAGACAAACAGTACATAATGTCAAGAAAAAAAGCTAAACAACTGCTAGTTTCTTATGTATCTCAAAATTACTTTACAAATGTAATATATTTTCCTCGAAATATTAGTGGGAGTTAGAAATTAGTATATATTTAACAAATTTTGGTTAAATTAGTTATTAGTTTACCTCGTGACTATGATGATTTTTATCCCACGTCCAGTGATCTTCACATGGTAATTCCAGTCCATTCCAACTGGGTTCTTTGATTTCTTCTTCTTCGGAATTCATGGTTCTTGAGGCTCCTTCTGACTGTTACGTAGATGTTTCCAGAGGATATTGACAGTGGTCGATAGTACCAACAAGTCTAAAAAACAGTTTATGTAATAAATTACGAAGAGCGTGAACAACAGTCGATTGCATAAAACACATCGATGTCGCAACGAATTTTGTACAAGATTTTTTTATAGGAATTTAAAAAAAAAATTGACATTTATGAAAACCGAAACCAGTTTGCTTATGTCAGAAATATCATAAATTCGTGATTAATCAGTTTTGGTACCATGTTGGAACCCCAGTTTGGTCTGTCAAACGGGTACCATTCAATTTCGGATGGGTGAATGATGCTATCATAACAACTTTGGTATAGGCCCTTTGGTCTGTCAGATGCTATACCGCGGTTTGACTGGGTAGTGGAGGTTTGGTAGCTTTCTGGTTTCTTTTTCTCTCATGTCCAAATAAACATGCCAAAGTCAAAATGTACCAATGTACCCTATCCACTGAATTCGGATGAGATTGTTGAGCTACGTAACTTACGTACCAATTGGTTAACCATTCGCCTACCAAACAGCAGATGAAAATCTGGGGCGAAATCGCCTATAGATATTTCATTTGGGCATACTTTAAATAATCAGAGAATCGTGCTTAGAGGTCCTATACAGGAAAATTATAGTAGAATCTGAGAACTAAAAGTCAATTTCTTGGAAGTTTTGTACAGGTTTTCAGGTTTCCAGTAACATTTATCCAATCTAGTGTCAGTAAATAGGACCTCTGGATGACGATAACAGGTTCAACATTTTGGATGCTATCGAGTAAAAACCTTCAATAATATGATGTTCAAATTTGTAAGGAGGAAAATGAAGCAGTCAACAGCATGTAGCATTTGCATGTAGCTAAGTGTTGTTGGTAGCTCTACCTGAAACTCTTTTAGTTCTTTAAGACAAAACTTTCTTTCTCAGGAAATTTAAATGTTATTCTCCATCTATAATCTATAGATTATTATATAATCTCCTGGAAAAAGTTAGGCAAACCATTTTCTGAATATCCAGAATAACTTGCTACTAGCTACATAAATGCTTCAACTCAATTATCTTTGCTAAACTCACTGCAGTCTGATTCGTTATCAATTCCCATTCTGGTAGTTAACCTGCTTTCTTTGTGTGCGTACCTTTAGGAAATATACCCTTGTAAGGAATCATTTATTATATCTCCAAGCGCACGAAAACTTCTATCGTCGAGATGGAGTAATATTCAATGGATATGTCATCATAATCATATCCCGAGGAATTTTTGTTTTTGAAGGTTGTTATAAGTGCTTCTTTGATCTCATGAACATCAATTGGTGCCAAGAAGAAGAAATTTGAGACATTCTTGTCTATCAAATAGTCTAAGGGATTGACCCTGGAGTAGAGCTGGAACGAAAGAGCGCCAGCTATAGAGCAAAAGAAAATATTTAGATTATTAGGAGACAGGTGGGATGAAGATACCTGGGGGCGAGAAATTTCACCTCTTATTTCATTAATTATAGACCCTCCTTCTGAGTGTTATTAAAATTGGAAATTCGTTTGCTAAAGTATAGATATTTTGCAGCTTGATTATTTTTCTATAAATAATTCGATAATTTGTAAACAAGGACAAAAGAGATACACTTTTATGAATAAACTTTCTGAGATAGTGCAGACATTGCATGTTTATTGCAGATATCCCAATTACTCCGGGTCCGGTAAGTAGTAAAAGCACTGTGAAAAGAATTTAGTGGGCTCAAAGTGCTTCTGTTTCCGGCTGCCATCCCTCAAACCCTACATCCTTTCCTACTCGCATTTTAGTTACCCAAGTCGATAACTCATATTGGAACGTATGTCATCCGCAGAATGAAGGAACTTGAGTGGTGATTGAAAACCTAGAACAATATCTGTTTGCTGTAAACAGTCCTTTCAAGAAAAGTCTCAACAGAAAATGGAATTGAATATTACCTACCAGATGTTTATGATAAAAAAAAGAAGTAGACAGCTTTCTTTGTTGAAGGAACATTTTTGAAAATTGATCAAGTCACTCTCTATGATCACCCTCATAGTTGAATCAAAAAAGATGTTCGATAGAAGAGTAATATTTTCCTTTTATTAATTAGAAGGGCGTTGGGTAATTCCGTAAAAAGAAGCATATACATATAAATGACATGAACAACATCAATGCTAGATTAAACAACTTCTAGAATTTTCAGAAGCAGGAACGAAGGGATGGAATAAAAACAAAAAGGTGGAGAGGGTACGCGATCAAACAAGGCAATAATCAAATAATGTTGCACATTTTTTATTTGAAACATTTTTTTGTAAAATCAATAGGAACAAAGTAATGGCCAATGGCGCACTTTCAACCCCTATAGCGCAAAACGCCAGAGGGGTGCATGTGTGATATCTTCGGTTTTATGATCACCCACCCGCCCCCTATCATCCCTGAAAAGTTCATTTGGGTAGGATTTTTTTTGCGATGCATGTATTTTTTGACAATTTTCCTAGACTAAAGGTCTGTTCTCACAAGAGCCTCCGACAGTTTGCAACCTGTCAGAAAGCATCGCTCATACATGTTTTCATAGCCGTCGTTCCAAGATACATCGGTTACTTAGCTGAGCGATTGTTTCTGGACCCGTATTCTCATCACCGGGGAGCGTATAGCCACTTCCTACCATTGTGCAACGCACACCCCTGAAGTGTTGCGTTGTATCGTGGTAGGCACCGGCAAAGTTAAACGCTCACCAGCGCAGAACAAAACCTACCACGATGCAACGTTTTTCGATGGAGCCTGATATACAATGTCTAGTAGTCGCGCGTGAATTTGAGGGACAAATTCTACCACGATACAGCGCAGCACTGGAATAAAATATAGATATTGTGATAGTATTTATTTATTTATCAAATGAACATAATACAAATATGAAAATAAAAATAATGTTGATTTCAATCACATACATATTACATAATATTTATAGTAGGTATACAGGGTGTCTAAAATACCATGGGCCACCAATGGTATAATATCAGAAACGGTAAGAGATACGAGGGCGATTAAATTGGAAAAAAGTTTTCATTTTTGAAGGTTAGGTAGGTATTAAAAATGTCTTTTCCACCCTCGACGGCTTATCCGAACTCCGCTGCGCGTCGTTCGTGCAACTGCATATTTTGAAAGGAAATTTAATTTGCAATGTAACTATGTGTCATACATAGTAGGGGAGAGTGGGGCAACTTCGACATGTTAAGGTTTACAAGATTTTAAAAACGATTTGTATTTACAGAAATAAACACAACTTTATCTAAACATAGTGATAACATTTATTTAGTAGGAAATAGGCATTTGAAACCAATATCGTATTAATTCAAAGAGAAAAATATTTTTTTTTGCATCAATGTCAAATGACGAACTTGCCCTCCCCTAAGGGGCAAATTCGACAGCATTATTCTGATACAATTCCCTAAATTTTATTTGCTAGCTAAATCACAGCAAAAATTTACTGCTCTACTTCGTATGCATCAGATTGTTTTTTTTTAAATAATCTCTAACCATATTGACATCCTTGATTGCTCCACCCAAGCGGATTCTAGTAAAATATTTAATAACATCTTACAGGAGCCTTTTTTACCGCCTATTATCAAATATTTCTACAAAAGATGGGTCAAAGTCACTCTGTAAAAATTAACTTGCGAAACAGAACGCTCTAACAGAACGAAAGTAGTATTAAAGTAATAGCCAATCCTTGGATCAGGAATTTAAAAACTTGTTAATTGCGTTTTATGCGATAAATTGAGTAGCTACCTTCTCCAGACTTAAGAAGCAACTAACTGATACGTACGATGCACCCTCAAGCCATTTTTGGAATTTCCGAATCCAACCGATTCCTAGTAAAGCGCCATCGATGACAAACTTGCCCCACTCTCCCCTACAGGGTGTTCCAAATTCGAGCCACATCATTGTAACCAGCTATAAGGAGCCATTTCCATTGAATAACTCTCACACACTACTTTTATTTAGGCTTACAAATGCCTAATGTGCGTAACTTGTTCAAGCAAGATAACAAAAAAACAAACAGCTGATTGAACTGCTGTGAGCTGACGACACATGTGGGGGCGCGCGTGCACGAAAGCACTGTATCGTGGTAGAATTTGTCCCTCAAATTCACGCGTGACTACTAGACATTGTATACCACGCTCCAGCGAAAAACGTTGCATCGTGGTAGACTCTGCGGGTGCCTACCACGATACAACGCGACACTTCAGGGGAGTTCGTTGCACAATGGTAGGAAGTGGCTATACGCCACCGGGGAACAGAGTTCTCTCAAGAGAAAGATTGCTCTGTTTTAGTCATCATATTGTTATTTCCATAATACTGACAAAGACAGAGCAATCGTTCTCTTGAGTGAACGCTGTTTCCTGATGGTTACGAGAATATGGGCCCTGATAGTTTGCAAACTGTCAGAGACTCTTGTGAGAATAGAACTATAGAAGTAGGGGTACCTCAAGGCAGTATGGTGCAGTTGTTTTAATTATTTTTGTAAATGATTTGAATGTCCAAATAAGTCACCCAAATCTCAATATTACAATATTACAAAATATGCATTGACAGCGACAGCTAGTCCCGTTCCCGTCCGCCATGGTTTTAAACTCTGTCTAACCTAACCAAAGTTGAACGTTGAAGGTCATTTACTCGAATATATGACAGACGTTGCTTTTTGCTGCTGTCTTTATTGCACGCGCACTGTGTTTATCAAACCAAAATAGGTCCGAACGTATGAATCCTATGGTTACAAGGATGAGTAAGTGACCTTCAACGTTCAAGTTTGGTGAGACAGAGTTTAGCACTTCTAACCATCTCCCTACCATACAAGTCCCAGAGAAAAAGCCAACGAATTTTATCTCTCTTTCGTCAACTTTCGTGGACTATGGGAATGCAGTTGCTAGCATTGAACTATATTATATTGCTCGTAGGAAGACCAACTCCCGATAGGACTCACCATACCAGAGAGCCTTACAGCTTATTTATAACAACTACAGATGATAATATACAGCTAAAAGAGAACATCAATCCCATTAAAATCAG